ATACATAGATCTGTTTCTTAATCTTCTACTCTGTCTTTTCATGCACTGGTACCACTTCGTCTCAGTGCTAAAGTTTAATTTTGTCTTCATAACTCACAGGGCAGGTCTCTCCATCCTCTAGCCTTATAAAATGTACATATACATTTTGTAATCATTTTTCACTTTCTATTTTAAAACTGTTTCAACTTTATTGGTATTGCTTTCAATTTATGACCCCTTTAAAATAGTAACTCTACCTATATATTCTTTAGAAAAGCTTTGTGTGTTTCCTCCATAAAGTTTTTTGTTAAAGATAATTTCAAGATGCCCTGGCTGGCATGGCTCAGTGGTTAGAGTGTTGGCCTGTGGACCAAAAGGTAGAGGGTTTGATTCCTAGGTTGCAGATTTGTTACCCAGCCCCAGTCAGAGTGCATGTGGGAGGCAGCCAATCAATGTGTCTTTCTTACATTGCTGTTTCTCTCTCTCTCCCCATCCCTCCCTTAAAAAAAAGAAAAAGAAAAAAATTAGTGGGAAAAATATCCTCAGGTAAGGATTTTAAAAAAAGATCATTTCAAGATATAATTTCTGCTGTTATTGTGATGGGATACTTTTCCTATCGTATTTTCTAATTGTTGGTACACTAATTTTAATATGTATATAACTAATTCACCAATCATGAGGGATTTTGATTTACTAATTCTAATTATTTTCTTAAGATAATCTTTTTTTTAGAAATTATGGTTAATATACCGCTTTCTAGTATTTTTAGAACTCAGTTTTGTTTTTAAAAAAGTATTACATTTATTAGCACCTCCAAGGTAATACTTAATTATGGTGGTGATGTCACCCTTACATTGTTCCTAACGTCAGTGGAAATGTTTCTAATTATTAAGCATGATTGCTGTTTCTTCTAGATTTCCTTTATCAAGAAAATTATCTTCTGCCCCTATTTCATTGAGATTTTATTTCTACTTAATCCATCTATCTTAAAATGTTTTCAATCTTCTGTGTGTATGTATCAAAGCCACTCTTTTTTTAAAAAAGGAATTATTGAATTACAATTAGCAATTACTATTTTAGAATTTGTAAAGACTTCACTTGTAGTCAATTGCTAGAGAGAATATTTTAATGTTTTATATCCACTTAATACAGAATATCTTGGGCTACATCAGGAGTTCATGAAAGGATTTGAGGAAGGCTCACAGAGACCCACCAGCTTGCTGTTCCTCTTGCTTACAATTAAGAACTCTGAAAGATATGCCGCTACACCACTCAGGGCTTCCGAGGGGACCAAGTCCAGGGGCACCACCGTCAAAAAATACAAAAGTCTCCCTACAATTAGATGATGCAATGCCATGAAACTCATCTACATGATAGCAATTTATTTTTTAACTAGAGGCCTGTGCACAAAAATTTGTGCACTCGGGGCTTCCGAGGGCAAGTCCAGGGGCACCACCGTCAAAAAATACAAAAGTCTCCCTACAATTAGATGATGCAATGCCATGAAACTCATCTACAACATAGCAATTTATTTTTTAACTAGAGGCCTGTGCACAAAAATTTGTGCACTCGGGGGGCGGGGGAGGGGGGGTCCCCCAGCCCGGCCTGTGCCCTCTCGCAGTCTGGGACCCCTCGGGAGATAACGACCTGCTGGCTTAGGCCTGCTCCCGGGTGGCAGAGGGCAGGCCCAATCCCTAAGTGCAGCCCCTGGTCAGGCTCAGAGCAGGGCCGATTGGGGAGTTGGGGCGCCGCCCCGTCATGCACAGAGCAGGGCGGATCGGGAGGTTGCAATGCCACCCTCAGTCACGCTCAGGGTAGGGCCGATTGGGGGGTTGGGGCACCGCCCCCTGTCACACACAGAGCAGGGCCCATCAGGGGGTTGAGGAGCTCCCCCCTGTCACTCACAGAGTAGGGCCGATAGGGGAGTTGGGGCACCCCTCCCTGTCACACACAGAGCAGGGCAGATCAGGGGGTTGGGGCGCTGCACCCTGTCACACTCAGGGCAGGGCCAATGGGGAGGTTATGGCTCTACCCTGTCACACACAGAGCAAGGCCCGTGGAGGGGGGTTGGGGCGCCACCCTCTATCACCCACAGAGCAGGGCCGATCAGGGGGTTGGGGCGCCACCACTGTCACACTCGGGGCAGGGCCGATGGAGAGGTTATGGCTCTACCATGTCACACACAGAGCAGGGCCGATCAGGGGGTTGGGGCGCCACCACTGTCACACTCGGGGCAGGGCCGATGGAGAGGTTATGGCTCTACCATGTCACACACAGAGCAGGGCCGATCAGGGGGTTGGGGCGCCACCACTGTCACACTCGGGGCAGGGCCGATGGAGAGGTTATGGCTCTACCATGTCACACACAGAGCAGGGCCGATCAGGGGGTTGGTGTGCTGCACCCTATCAAATGCAGAGGTGCAGGGCAATCAGGGGATTGGGGAGCTCCCCCCTATCAGGCACAGAGCAGGGCCCGTGGGGGG